GGGAACAAGTGTTATGGTGTTTGTTGTACAGAAGATGACATGTGGCTACTTTCTAGTTTGTGCCTTATAACCTATAGCCTCTAAAAAAGTCAAAACACACAAAACCTGATCGTGAATTGAAAGAACACGCATATTTTAGAAGTGGAACGAGTATTATCCTAACAGAGCTTGCAAGGTCTAGGCTTTTTTTTTTAACTATCTCACTTCTTCAGAATGGGATCTCTCCATCTGGTGTTTGAGTGTAGGATTTCCTATAGATCTTCTGCAAAATGGTCTGATGGGAAAGAAAACACTACTGAGCAAGAGGAAGAAATGTAGGTAACAAATTCCAGTTGTGAGATGTTTCTCGGAACAATCCTGCCAGAAGAAAATTAAGGAATTTTACTTTTTGTATTTTGGAAGCACTTCCTAAAACTGAGCCCACCAAAATTCCTCCATCTCTTGTAGAAGTAAGTATCTGTCATTTGAAAAGTACTGTGATTAAGTTGTGATTTGGAAAAACATGGCTTTTCAGTATTTTCTATTGTCATATACTTTCTAGAAACAGGACCTTGGTGAGGAAAGTAGTAGTTCATACAGATCGCTAGTCTTTTTACTGAGAATGTAAAAAAATGCAGCAATTAATGCCAATTTTACTTGTATCTCTCTTCTTTCGCCCATGATAGACAACAATTCATCATGTAAGGAATGCATACAATGCATTCATTTCATTTATGTCTGTCTCTGGGCTTTCCACCTAAGCTTATACTGTTTATAGCGAACAACCAGCATTGGAAAAAAAAAAAAAGAAAAAAAGAGTGAAAAAGTCAGCGGTTTGTACTGTATTTTTTTTAACATTTACACAAAAGAAAGACAGATAGATTGAATCTCAGCTGACAACCAGATGTATAAAACGTGCTTTTTCAAAGACCATCTCACTGAAGAGCTGTTCCCTGCTTATCCAGAAGTAATCCCATTCTCTGCAGCTGGCAGTAGATGAACCTATGTTCTCACTAGCCTCAGAAAAAATCATCTCTGTTTTTTACTCTCTCTCCCTGTCACTTCTGAATTCAACAATATGGGACATATTATTATATGCGACCTAACAAAGAAGGCAAATATTTTAAGAAGTTTGACCAACTTATTAGTTGCTGTGATGGATTTTCTACCACTGTGTCTGTTAAAGACTGGATGTTATTATGAAAGTTACATATAATCACAGTTAGATACAAACAAGAATTAAGTCAAAGAATTTCTACTGTGTGAGATGGTTACAAAATAATTACAGTCTCTCTTGGCCATATAACACTATTACAGGTCTTAAAAGATGCTGCAATGGCTGTGTCTTACAAAATCAGTTTTGAATTTTAGGGCTCAGACTGTTGACCAATTACAAATCTGCATGCAATATTATCCGGAATTTATCAAGGGCTAAACTTTTACATGCAGATAGTTACCATGAATCAGCTGCCATGGAATGGCTGGGTGAATCATTAGTAACTGGATTTTCAGTCTAATAATCGAGAGAATTGTAACAGTTTTGTTGAGGGGATAATTGTGCATCATTAGCATTAAGAACAAAATGCTGAATGTGGAGAGCAAATGTGGATAATTAAAAGTTGTTGGCATTAAAATATATTTTTTAAATATTATATATTCTTTGCCACAAAGTGGCATGAATTTAATATGAGCTGGTTCTTAACGTTGTCCTTTTTGCAGTACCCAGTTTTTTGTACCTCTTGACCTACCTGGTCTTTCTAAGTTTGAATCTTTCAAAGACTTCTGCATGAAGTTAATTTGATGAGTTGTTAGTAGTCTTCACTTTGGTGGAGTTTTACCGGAACTGTTGCCTCTGATGGTAAAGTCTTCCAGGCATCCTGGCTATTTGCATGACTTCTTTTTTATTCTAACTCTATATGAACGTGAATGCTACATAACATGAAGATGAAAGAAAGTCCAGACAACTCTTTGTCTTGCTCATGTTGAATATGGACAAAAAACCCCAGAAGTGTGGAAATAATACCTGTGGGGAGAAGCATCCCGTGCCCCTACAGGCTAACACTCAGCGTTCAGCACTACTAAGAGATATTCAACCTTCCCTAAGGATTTTATTTTCATCTCTATGAGACAAGGGAAGACAACATGTATCTAAAAGTCAGCTTTTTATTCTAGCCCCAAATCGTAACATTGAATTCAGATACTCTTATCTGAATAGATCATATACATGATGAATTTTCACTCCTGATCTCTACCATTACAGACTTGCATTAAAGAGGTTACGGTTACTTCAGTGCCAAATTATGCCCCTGTCTTGCATAGGAAGTAAAGGAGCATGGATTTTTCTTCTTTGTTAAGCGCTTTGCATAGAAAGAAGGATAAATGGAATTTCCTTTACCAAGGGAGTACAAGAACTGTTCTCTCCCTGCATTCGAGACACAAACTACAACAGCAAGAAGTGGGGTCTGCTTGTCTCTGTAGCTGGCTTCTTTCTGAGAGGGGAAACAATGCACCATTTTAAGAACCACTTTTCCTTTGTGGGATCTCTCACGAGAAGGCTGTAGCCCTGCACATACATGCAGAGCTCAAAAAATTGTGGCAGTCTCGAGCTCTTAGGCTGCCACAATTCATGTTCCCTTCCCCCATCGAAAGAATTAATAATTAAAAAGCACCAAGAAGTTGTTAACTTAGGCATGACAAAATGAAAAAGCATAATTAGCCTCTACAGACACTGTAATGAAAATGTGGAAACAAATCTCTGTTGCAGAAGATAGATGGATGAAAGGCTGGTGTGCAGGAGCAAGTCATCTGTAGGCAACCTAAAGTAATTTAGATTGGTGTTTTGACTGACTCTGGCTGCAAGAGGCATTAAGGGCACCCATGTGTTAGTCTAATTGAGGCTGAGTCAGCATTTCTTCTGCAAACATTTACCGTATTTTAAAAGTCTGCCTGTTGCAGTTGTCAGTCTGGATTAAAACCTTAGATACAGGTCTTGGCACAAGAGCTCATCCCCTGAACAAATGAATCCGCCCAATTACTGTGGGACTAGAGGGAGCATCTCTCTGACTTAGTACCAAGGAGGTGGATGTTGGCCTGGGCTCCTCCTCAGAGCACAGTGCTCTAACGTCTGTCTGAAGCCCTCCATTGGGATGAAGGAAATACAGCTGTAAAAGGCAAAAGTAACACAGAGATGGGGACTAATTTTTGTATTTCCTATCCTTATCAGTACGAACTTGCAAAGAATAATTCAAGTACATTACAGGTAAACTTCTGGGAAGTTCTGGGAAGAGGCTAAGTCTATTTGCTCCGATTAGACTTCCCAAGAGGAATTCAGTTTAGCAACAAAGTCACATATAATGGCTATGTGGAGCTAATGTGGATTTACACAGTGGCCATCAATCTGCTCATCTAGAAACAAACCCAAACCCAAACCATAAACATAACTCTTCCTCCTGGGTAGACATCCCCAAATATCCTAAAATTGCCAGTGAAATTCTTAAGATCATGACAAGAACTACAAAAGTAGAATTTATTATTTTGTGGCAATTGCTATTAATATAATTGCTACCATTGTCTTTTATTTGCTTCCTGAATTTTTATACTTTGAAGGTTGCTCCTTTGCCACAATGGCATGCAACTTCTTTTTTAATCTCAAATTTAAGAATTTCATGTAATCACTTCATTAAAAGAGTGGAGACCTCAAAAAAACAACTCAATAGGACAAGTTACAAAGTGGAGTAATGAAAGGTAATAACATAAGTGACTGAATTTGATAATGAATTTGGACATTTCAAAGCATGCGGACCAAGAGCACACATTCCCACCCCCAAATCTGACCAGCATTTAGCATACTTTTCAATAATTTTAAATTGGTGGAAAGTAGAAAAGGCAAGCAGTTAATTCAAAATATACTCGAACAAACCAAAGTTATCTTATGCTATAGAAACCGAGACATCTCTCAAACCTGCTTATGCTGATTTGTTGAGTTTCTCTGTCCATAACTGACACACTTGCTTTGCTAACTTTAACTCGCACTTCAGAATTTGAACCATTTTTCTGATCTTTTGAACCATTTTTTTGATTGATAAAACAATTTGGAAGCTACTGATATTTGCATGGTAGAATTAACCCTTGAATGGCTATTTTGAATGGGATCTTTTGTCTGCAGTTTATGTTCTTGGTAGCATGAAGCATGGTGTTGTGAAAAAAGAAAAATGAGAATGAAGAGATATAAAGAATATACAGTTCTGAAGGAAAACAGGGAGTGAGAATGTTAGGAAACTTAGGAAAGTTTTAAGGAAAGAAGCTAAAAGGAAAGCAGTGCATGAAAAATAAACTTCAGATCCAGAAGTAAAATACAGATACTTACCTTTAATATATATATATAATGGTCTACATTTTATAAAAGAATGATACTTTTTTTTTTTCCAGAATATGTCACATTTAAAAATAAGTTTTTAGAAAGATGAGTTAATAATTTTAATATATAGACCATATAATTGCTTAAGTGGCTGTAAGACTATGAAGACAACAGATGTAATATGTAAATCAATGTAATGATCTACAATTAGGCTAAAATTTTATATTTTCCTATTTTATGAATTTGATTTTATTTCTGTTATTGAAATATCATAAAATTTTTATTTTAAAAGAAACTATCAGTTATTTGTTCTGGGGCTTAGACAAGTGGTAAAGAAAGTATTTGAAATGATTTCTGACTGAAAGATCAGTGAAAACAAAATAATAAACCAACTAACTTTCAATGTAACATTTAACTTCTACATGTATTTTCATATAAATTTTACTTAGACAATAGAGGCAAACATACTTCTTAGTATTTTTTAAGAAGGGAGTTATCCACAACTGCTGACTTTATTGACTAATAAATACTCTTTCTAAGTTTAGGTATAGTAAATAACCTTAATGTTGAAACAGGATGTTTATGCTCAACATAATCTCATAAATTATACTGTATGGCAGTCAAATATATAAATATCCACAGAAATATACATATTCCTACTTACCCAACGGACAGGAAAGGCTCCTTTGATTCAAGTCTGTCAAGTGAATAACAGAAATTTTAAATATGTATAAATTTATTGTATTTCAGAACATTTATATGGTGAATTTAAAACAGCCACTCTCAGTATCAAATTTACTTGGTGACCAGTACACAATTTAACAGCAAGAAGGGCCTGATCCATTATGGCAGGAGCTTAACTCAGAAAAAATCCCATTTACTTAACTGAATTTTGGTTTGGAAATCGAATACTTACAAAGCAGCACATCTAGGCACTTTAAGTTTCACAGATTCAGATGACTTGTGCAGGTATTTACATGGAAAATCTAGAAAGAACAAGTAATACTTTGTCCCTTTTCTTACATTCTTCATGTAAAATGTTTTTTTCTTGATGGCCATGACTTAGGGAAGATATAGAACGTTTGTTGTTGTTTTTTTTTTTTAACTTTAAACATAAAGTTTAGTATGGGTGTAAAAACTTTCCTGACTTAAGGGCTTCCACACCTATTTTGTTTGCTTTCACACATGCTCTATTCACATGACATGGTCGCTTCTTCATCATGAGAACTTCTGACACATCTGTCACAATCAGCCTTGTGCTGGAGCTCGATGCCACTGGTTTGGTAAACCCAGAATCGTGCCCAGTCCTAAAAACAGTTGTGAAAAGTGTGGTTCTCCAACTCCCTGCTGTTGCTGTTGGCTCTGTGAGGAGCTGCACCACTTGCACACTGGCAGGAGCCTCTTGTATTAGTAGTTTCCACCCAGCCAGGATAGATTTTAAAATTCTCATCTGTGTTATCGTACTATATTTCTGCTCCAGTACCTGCAACGGGCTGCCCTTAATTTTGTACTGTGTCCTGGCTGCAATGAATTTACTAATATCAGCTGCTTGTTAGTACCATTAGCATGTGACTTAAGGGTCTTTTATAAACATATTTAAAGCAAATTTGCAACGCAATTATTTTGAGAGGTTACATGGTATGCAAATGACGTAAAAGTTCTCTGTTGTGCTAATTTTCACTGAGAGTACTGTGTTAGGAAGAACAGCAAATAAAAACCCCAGGTACTTAATGTCTTTTTGTAGCCTTTAAGAGAAGTGTTTATACTAAAGGAAAGTATATTGTATCTGGAACTGAACATTTCATTTCTGATGACCCCTCCCATCTGAAACCAATTCAATCCTACAACAAAATATCTGAAGTAGAACTGTAAACAGGACTAATTGCAAACAAAAGTACTGTAAATAATTTGTTAATGTTTTAAGAATGAACCTTTCCTGCAAATCTTCTTTCTAGAAAAATCAACAATTACATTTGCAGTCATTATTCATTTAGCAAAGGTTTTGTCCAAAAAACTTACAAGTCAATAGACCAGTTTAATTATTACCATCTATCCAGAAGAGAATTTATAAAAGGTGAACTTGTCACTGTGCTTTTGAATGGATTATATGATTTTGTCTTTAGTTGAAAAATACTGCAAGTCATCGCTTTGCAAAGCATTTACTTCTTTTCCAGAACCACTAGTGGAAATAACTTAGGAGCCTGTCTTCATTTACAATGTCATCTCCCGCTGTACTTTAAAACTAATTTCATGCGGTTAGGTTTCCAGCATTGGTAAGGACAACTTGCACCAGGCTTGAGGAAGGGCCAAAGTGCATCAAAAACATAGTAACTTTTTTTGTTGTCCTCATGGCTATACCTCACCTTACCATTTCTTTCTGGGGTTGTGATCCACAAGGAAGTAAAAGAATAGAAGAGGGAATCACTGATGGACTTGCCTGTACCTGGAAGCACAGTGGAAGCCCAAAGCTTGCTATCCCTGTGATCAGGAGGATGCTTCTCCAGGGCAGTCCCGGTGCTGTCATGAGTGTTTTCCTTCCCAGACTGCCATGCCAAGCACCAAAACCCTCATAGCACCAAGAAAATGCTTAGGCTAGCATCCTCTGTTCTCAGGCAGTACTGCCAAAGAGCAGTAAAGTGACAGGGCCTTTCATGTGCGAGGTTGCATCCTTCTCCTGCAGGCTCTGTGGAACCACCATGCCAGCTTCATGAACCAGCTTTTCCTGCCGTGGATCACACCATTACAGGAAAACATCTGCACCACCTTTGCAGCTTCTCTGTGGTGTATGAGGAAAAGCCCAACTAGTGTTATTGTTTTGCTTCCTGCTTTTCTGCTTAATGAAATGAACCATGCCTGGGAAGTACCCGGTCTTTGGCTCGAGAGATTAAGTATAAGCAAAATGAGCAAAGAATTAAACCCTCAGAACATATTTACATACTTCATAATACATAAGTTTTGTAATGAACAGAGACCTGGCACTATCCTGATGAAGGACATTCTGGTGGGTTTTACTTGCAAAGAAAAAGTGTGTGATAGAATGCCCTGTGGACAAAATACTGCAGTTAAAAATCTATTTGAAATCCATTCTCAAGATGGAATTCAATTTGATTTAAATAGTGCTGCCCTAGGTTTGATCCCTCTCTATTGTATTTGACTAAATGGTTTTAGATGATTTGCTGCATTATTTTAAATTAGTTCGTGTTCCTCGTAGTAAAGGAATACAATTATGTGTTGGTCTTTTATTTAAATTGGTAATTCAGTATATAGCAAATTAATATAAAAGTTTTAAAACTGTAACACCATATAAAGTAATATCCTGTATCATCTTTACTGGTAATACTTTATTTATCAATATATATTATAGATTTTTTACCTTTGTTTTCTAGCCTGCAGTACACCAAATTCTCCAGAGTTTTGAGGAAGTCTTGCATAATTAAATCTGATATCTCCTGATATAATCCTGATAAGCTGTGAGAAGGGCTGTCATACACCTTCAGGAAAAATGTTAAAATAGAAATTTTCTTTCTTGCAGAAAGGTACTAAGAATGCAAGAAATACTAGGTTGGATAGTAAACAAAGGGAATAATGTTTTAATTATGTAGGAATCGTAATGAAGCTGGAGTGAATATGATTTTTCCTTCTTTCTTGAAGTGGTTTTCCCATGAGAAAATTTCGATTTGTCAAAATATCGAGGCAATATATCAGTTCAAATAGGAGGGAGGCGGGCTAATCAGTAGCTTGACTGGCACATGGCAGACTGAGGTTGTGTTTCCCTTTGATTCTGAGCTAAGATTTTCTTAAAAGTTTGACTTTCTTATCTGTATATAATGGATAAGTTTTTGCAGGAGGAAAAAGGTTTTTTACACTACGTAACTTGCTCAATTAAAATCAGTCACTGTAAACCAAACAGGCATAGGCAATCAATTTATACTCATTGATATGCTACAGTAGTGTCACACTCTGTTTAAAATAAGGATCCTAGAAATTTCCCATTTAGTATTTTACCCCTTGCAACCTGTCTTGGAGAGACGTTTTACAAGATCTGATTAACATAATCGTGTATTTCAAGATTTTCTTTGCTGCTAAGTTTGCTTATATTAATGCCAAGTATCTAAATCCCATCTTTGACAAGGACCGAACAAGTAGATGGACAAATTTTTCAAGGTTTGCAGAAAAACATAAAAGAAAACATGACTAGACTAAGGGCATGTGGATTCCTCTTTGACTTGTAAAGAAATCACTTAAGGACAGGAAGATCCCAAAGTAAACTCCACTTTTCTTGCATAATTGTCCTATTAAGATTACAGGCAAGATGACTTTTTACATCTGAGGCCTGACCCAGGATACATAAATCAACATCATTTCTTGTTAAAGAATCCTCACCTCTCTTTCCAAAAACCTATTTACAGGACAAAGTGGATAACATTTCTACAATATCAGTGCTGTATGTGAGCAAATGGATTTTAGCCAAGCATTCTCCAAGGTAACTCATTATGAATCAATATATTCTTCCTCGTAGTGATGGTATATTTTCAGCTCTAAGGAGCTAGTAAGAAAAACATGTGGAATTTAAGGCATTTGTTAGAGTTCTTATTCTGACTTTTTAATATAATAATACTATCTACACTGAATCATGGGAAGTGATGGTCAGGAACCAAATTTTTTTTAGATGAGTCACGATTTTGGGTTACAATCTTAAAATCAGGATTCCCAAGGAGGATAACCTGAGTGTGTTCCTGATGTCACACATTTTCTGTTTGACTGTAAAAGGCATGAATAGTGATTACAGTTTTGCAGGAATTGGAAGAGTTAATACCTCCAACAGGAATCCAGAGGATTCAAGCTTTTCCTTCAAGCCATGTAGGAAAGTCAGGCCAACTAAAAAAGCATTTTGGACTTCAGTCACTTGATAAATTGGCTGTATAATGTTAATGTATATTCTGTATGACTGATGTGACTGACTTATTTACCTGTCAAGCATGTCTACCTCTTTGCGCTGTGCAGCTTTAGGAACCAAAAATGTAGCGAAAATATGTGAAATCAAAAAATATTCAGATTTATGCCTCACTCTGTTTCTCAAAGGATTTAATTTAGAAATGATAACCGAGGACAAGTCAAGGGACCTTTCAAAAGAAACTGAGGTAGTTTGCCATTCACAGTAATCAGCCAGGGTTGCGTTTATCTCTGTATGTTGACTTCGTGGTCTGAAGACAACAGTCAATAGTGATCAGAAAACATCTTCCTTAAGAATTTTTTAAGCAGTATTGCTCACATTTTATTACTCTCCTTTCCTTTTTAAAGCATGTGCATTATAACTTTTGGTAACTCCCAATATTTGCATACAATGCAAGCAGGCCTAATAAAAGCACATCTTAATTTACAGAAGAAATATTATTTCATGTAACTTCCTCTGTCTGTTGAGACTGAAATAGCCATTGCTAGTGTACACTAGGTAATCCATCCTTCCCTCCTCCCCTCCTTCCCTCCTTCCCTCCTTGCTATTTATAACGGTTTCTGTGACTTAAAGTAATTTCAATCCAAGAGAATTTTTCTGGATGTAAATAACCATTGTCAGGCAGAATTAGGGAAGAAGTGCTTTCTGCCTTCTGAAACTTCCATAAATATTATTAAAAATGTTGGCAAATTTTATTAAGAAGTACTGTCATATTCTGGAATAAATAAATGTTAGACCAATTG